GCAGGCTCAAGAAGTGAAACTTAAGCTTAATAAGCAGTAAGAAAACAAGTGATTTTGAACAAATAAGACAATTGTTTAAACAGTGTCTGTAAGAATATTCTAAGTACTAATATGTCATAAATAATGGGGGGGAGGTGGAGACATTGTGATTCAACAGTGTTTTCTTGTAGAGAAATGGGATAAGGGAATAGTTTCTGTTTTCAGTGAACTTCCAATTGAATGTGCATGTGGTGGTGGTAAAGGGTGAATGTAGAAGGCTCTGAGACACATAATAGGTGCATTAAAAAACTTATAGCACTTGCTGGTTTGGCTGAGTGGATAGAGCATCAGCCTGTGGACCAAAAGGTCTCAGGTTCGATTCCAGTCAAGGGTCCATACGCCTCTCTGGCCAGGTGCTGGTTGGGGCTTGTTCAGGAGGCAACCATGATGATTCTCTCTTCCACTCTTCCTAAGAATCAATAGAAAAATATCCTTTGGTGAGGATTAATAAAAAAATAATAATAATTTACAATACAATGTGATATACTAGAATAAAAGGTTCTACGGAAACACAGGAAGTAATAACTCACTCTGCCTGAAGGAGTTGTGCAATGTTTCAAGATGATATATGAGCTTAATTATAAAGATGGATACGAGTTAGCCAGGTATTAAAAGGGAAGTAATTTAAGCAAAAATAAGGAAATAAAAGAGCAGGATATATTCAGAGAACAATGAAGTGGAATGCAGAAAATATCCTTACAGTAGGTTAGGGTTGGATTGTATTGGTAGGTCTAAACTCCTTCACTGGTGTCTTGAAAGTTTAGATTTTATCCTAAAGAGGACATAAAGACTGGCAATTTTTAAAGCAAGGAAATGACATGATTATAATTGTGCCATGGCTAATTCTGATACAACTTCTAAAATAGAAGAGAAAAACTGAGTCAGAGAAAGTAGAATCCACAATATCTGATAAGCAAATGAATTTGAAGGGAAAGATGCAAAAATTCTTAGGCTTTATGGCTGGTAGACTAGAAGAATGGTCTTAATAAAGACCAAACATTAGGAAGTCAAGATATGTAAAAAGGCAGGGAAATATCAGTAATTTAGATAGGTTAAAGTGCTAGTAATAAGTATACACAAGTAGCAATGTCTATCGAGCAGCTAGAAATGAGACACTAAAATGTGGAAAGAGATCAGGAATAAAGACACATCTAAGAGTCACTCAAATAGAGGTGAAAATGAGATAGTAAATGAGTATACTTTTCAGAAAAGACTGACGAGTGCAGAGGATTGAACCATACTTAAGTGATTGAAAGGAGAAAAAAGATGATATATGAGGAAGAAAAAGCAAAAGTAAATAGTATGGCATAACTGAACATAGTTTTAAGAAGTTAGTTTCATTTTCATTACATGAATTGGTGGGTGACCTTTAGTATACTTTTAGTAGAGCTACAGACAAGAAAGGGAAATGAAAGTCAAATTATAAAGAGAGATAATAAAGAGAAAATAAAAACTAAATGTCATAGAGGAATGAATTAAAAAGAAAATATGTTTAGATATATTTTTTAAAAATATATATTTTATTGATTTTGTACAGAGAGGAAGGGAGAGAGTTAGAAATATTGATGAGAGTCATTGATCAGCTGCCTCTTGCACACCCCATACTGGAGATATGCCGGAAACCAAGGTACATGCCTTTGACCGGAATCGAACCCGGGACCTTTCAGTCCCCAAGCTGACGCTCTATCCATTGAGCCAAACCAGTCCTGGCAATTTAGATATTTTATATATATATTTTTATTGATGTATATCACAGCTCAAAACAATTTTTAAAAAGCAAATGTAGTTTAAATTTTAGAAACAAAACAAAACTATGTTATATATGGTATATAGGCATTAAACAAAGAATACTGGAAAAATATAAATCCATTTATGATAGTTTAGGGTGGACTGGGGTAAATGGCCAAAGGGGACTTAGTGAAGTTTCTACTTTTTACATACAGATGGAAGTAAATATAACTAATTGCTAATGATTTAATTCCAGGTATTGCTCTGTAATTGTCAAAATGGGATAGAGGTGATTGAGAAAAAGATGTCAACTGATAAAGAAAATGAGAAGTTGCTTTAATGGAAACTACGATAGTTATATAAATCAGAAGGTAATATAGGCAACATGTTCCTATCAGAATATCTTCTAATGGAATGTGCATCTGTGATTGATAACCCTCACAAAGTGAAGATTCTAATTCACTTTGCACGGCAGGAGGCAGGTAGGGAGAAGATTATTCTCCTTGCTTTTCCTTCATCTGACTATTGTGGGGAAACTGGCTACATTCCCTGCTTACTCACCAGGTGCAAGTCAGGGATGCAAAACAACCTCAACACATTCCTGAGTGTTTACTGTGAGTCAGGGTACACAAAAGTCAAGTTTCCAGAAGCATTTCTCAGCAGGCTCAGACTTTGAACCTGAGGTCCAGTCCTGCAGATTATCATATTCTTTGTATTTTCTATCCATTTAATTCTAATTTTAAAAATATATATTTTACTGATTTTTTACAAAGAGGAAGGGGGAGAGAGAGATAGAAACATCAATGAGAGAGAAACATCAATCAGCTGCCTCCTGCACACCCCCCATTGGGGATGTGCCCGCAACCAAGGTACATGCCCTTGACTGGAATCGAACCTGGGACCTTTCAGTCCGCAGGCCGACTGATTTTTTACAGAGAGGAAGGGAGAGAGATAGAGAGCTAGAAACGTCGATGAGAGAGAATCATCGACCAGCTGCCTCTTGCACACCCCCTACCGGGAATGTGCCTGCAACCAATGTACATGTCCCTGACCGGAATCGAACCTGGGACCTTTCAGTCCGCAGACCGACGCTCTACCGCTGAGGCAACCCGGTTTCAGCTGTACTATCTCTTACCATGAAATAATCCCTTATGGTTTAAGGGAGTGTTTTCAACCCCATCAGAAACACCTGGAAAGCTTCTGAAACTATAAATGCTCAGGACCCTCCCCCAGAAATTTGTGATCTAATTGGTCTTGAGCCACCCATCCATCTATACTTCAAAATGCTCCCCAGGTGATTCTGAAGTGGAGGCAGATTGCCAATTACTGATTCAATAACAGATAATAAAGGTCTTTGAATTCCATCTTAAGAATCTACCTTGAGGCCTATCTAAAAGGCAGAGGTTAGGGTACGCCCCTATTACAGTCACCTGCTTTAGTAAATGCAGTCAGAATTTCTGTTTCTGTTGAGAAGTTTTAAATGCTTCACTAGCACTCCTTGGCTTTTTACTTTTATGAAAATCTCCAAAGAGCATATGAAAAGCAGATAAGCTTTTGGAGACACAAACTTTTCTACAAGTCACTCACATAAAAAAAAGTCAAAGCAGCATGCCCTCAGTGGAAAAAATATTTAATTACAAAATACCCCGCACAAGAGTAGAGTATTATCTGATTGAAATTGGCAGGGATAGAAGGTGTTCTCCTGGGGGCATATTTTAGAGGTCCTATGCAATTTGCCATTTTCTAAATTGTAAGAAAACAAACAAAAAACTGGTAAATTATCAGACCCCTAGACAACTGAGGAAAAAGAAAAAAAAAATCACGTAGTATTTTATTTATAAAACAAATACGTACTGATGACCCATCGAGCACAAGGCTTTGATTCTAGCATTCAAAATAAACACTGATGACCGAGTTTCTCCCTTCCCGGAGCCTGTAGATTATTTACACGCAAAAAAAAAAAAAAAAAAAAAAAAAAAAAAAAAAAAAAAAAAAAAAAAAAGCTGTCAATAAGTTTGACCTGAATGCTGACCTCGCGGTCAGCTGAATGGACCATTGGGTAATCCCAGCTGAAAAAAAAAAGTCAGCAACATGATTTCTATTAACTTAGATGTCTCAAAATTCTAAACTCCAAAGGAAATGCCCCATTCTGGGAGGAGATGCTTTCCTGGGTGATTTGTGTGCTGGATGTGGTGGATCCAAACAGCGTTCAACCAGGCAGAATCGCAATGAAGGGAGGCGCCTTTCGTTTGACACCTTACGGCGGGACCTTTGCTCAGCACGGAGAGCAAGACAGGGCCACTTGCTGACCTCGGTGGCAACGCGGCCCTTGGGAGTGGTGACCATCAGTATTTGCATTTAGCCTGCAGCATTGGCTATGCCAGGTAGTTAAGACCAGCCGAGGGGGGAAATTGTGGACTAAGGCTCCCAAAAGTCAAGGGAGAACCCAAGGACCAGAATTTGAACAGCAGAGGGCGATGCATCCGATTTCACAAAGTTTTATGGACTGGAGCACCCCCCCACTTCCCCCCTCCCCCCCAGGAATGGCAAGTGGCTCCAACATCAAATGACACTTCCTCGTGAACTCAGTTAAATCGACAAATACGCTACGTGTCCGGGGCTGGGCTCCGGGAGGCTGTTTTCCGGAACCTCTACCCTTAGGTGTGACCGTTACGGCTCCCGGGCGGACACCCCCGACCTTACCGCCTGGGCGTGGGGATGGGCTGCGCGGAAGGAGGGCTGAATCAGCCCACCAGGCTTTCCAAAAGATTGCTTATCCTTAGTTTTTTTTTTTTTTTTAAAGAGCCTTGAAATTAACTGTAGGTGAGGATCATTCCCTTTTTTAAAAAAAAACAGCCTGGGTCTTGCCAGTGACATCGCTGACACACACGTTTACAGCCCAGTTAGGAGAATAACAAAACGGGGAAAAAAGAAAACGCCAGCTGTGGCTTCAGACGCCTCCCTCCCATTGCAAAGCGGCGTTCCCACCCTACGACACTCGCTCCTCCTTTCCACCAAGTTTCGCTTTCAAGTCTGCGCAGCCCGGCCGCCGGCTGGGTCCCCCCAAGTCCGGTCACTCCAAACTTTCTGCCCCTCGTCCGCCCGGCCCCTGCAGGCCCCGGGGCTCGCCGCCGGGCTCCGCGGGCCGGCCGGCCGGGGCGCCTCGAGGCCGGCGCGGGGCAGGGCCAGGCTCCCCGCGGCTCGCGTGCGCCCCCCCAAAAAGCTGCCCCTACCTGTCCAGCATCTGCTGTAGGGCTTGGTCCGGCATCTTTACGGTGCAGCCGGAGCACTCGCCTCTCTCCAAGGGGGACCCGGTCGGGGCCGGGCCCGGGGACAATAGCACTGAGAAGCGGCGGAGTAGGCCTCAGTCCCGCGGCGGCGGCGGCGGCGGCGGCGGCCACGAACCCGCCTCCCAGCCTCCGGGGTCAAGCTCTGCGAGCCCGGCGGCGGCGGCGGCGCGGCGCGGCCTGCGGGCGTCCCGAGGAGGCGGCGGCGGGGAGCGAGGAGGAGGAGCCTGGGGCGAGGAGGCGACGATCGCGGCCCGGGTTCCTGCCCGTCGGCCCGGGGTTCCGGTCCATGGACCGCGGGGCGCGCCGAGTTGCTAGCCGGGCGGAGGAGCTACCTCTGTGAGGTAAGAGCGTCCCCGCCTCCGTGCGCGCCGGGGTCACGACGCAGGGGCGGCCCAGAGCAGCCTGGGAGATGTAGTCCTCGCACCGTCCCCGCCGGAGGCTGCACCGCCCGCCCCCGACCACCGCCGCCGCCGCCGCCCGGCCGGCGCCCTCCCGTTTCCTTCCTCCCGGGGGGGCGAAAATGTGCTCGGCGCCGCTTTCCAGGAAGCAGCAGGATGTGCCGCTCCTCCGCTGTCAGTAGCAACAAGGTCAGCCCTCCCTCCCTGTGCCTGTGTCTTTCCTTCTCAGCTCTTGCCTTCAGGTGGGACCGAGCCAGGTAGAGGAGGGGAGGGGAGGGGGGGGGGCTCCCTCTCCATGTCTCGGGGTCTCTCTCATCAGCTCCGGCCGCCGCATCGGTCATCGTGGCGGGGGGTTGGGGGGTGGCACCCAGGACGGCTGAAGCCCTGGGCGCAGGGGGGCCGGTCCCTGCCGCGCCCTGAGCTCCTTTTGGGGGGATCTGAGTTACACACCAGCCTCACCCGGGATCGGATGCTCGGATGCTGCTGATGTGATTCCTATGGGGCCGGTGGGCAGGGACTGCCTTGGCCAGCCGGTCCCCACCCGAACCAAGTGTGTTTGGGGGTGGGGGTTGGGGGTGTGGGGTTGGGGAGAAAATAGGGTCTCTCTCCCTCTCTGCGAACCACCCCCTAAAAGGTGCCTGGGCTTCCCAGCGCCCGCCGCCGCCGCCCGTCTCCAAATGGAACACGTTGGTGAATAAACAGCTTTTGCTTACTCAGCTGTGGGTTGTCAGGGGTGTTTGTTTCTCTCTCCTCCGCTGCTGGCCACACTGTTAACCATTTCCAGTCGCCTGGACACCCTCAAGCAAGCAGGTGGATGTGTATGTGTGTGTGTGTCTCGAGGTGGGGGTGATCAGAAGGGAAGCTAATGATAGATCACTGATTGGGTTATTATCTGATAATCTAGGGGGGTGGGGGGTAGCTTAGGCGGAGGAAAGAGCTGTTGGCTAAAACGAATGAGTCCTTTGGCGTTCTCTAAGGGCTGTGCTTGGTAGGACGTCTGGTAGGTAGTTTTCCCTTGGTTGTGCCTCATTTCTGCTGCAAGAGAGTTGATTTTTTTCTTTAAGTTAAAAAGTCTGTTTTAAGCTCCCCCCCGCCCGCCACTTTTGAAGTCCTCCCTTTTTTTTAATGGAGAATTTTAAAATCAGCTGTTAATTCTCTGTTTAAAGTTTGCTTCCTGAATATATTTGAACTGGAGTGTACATTGCCAGCGAGGGGAAAATAACTTGTGTCCAGAAGTTTATTTGGCCTCCAAGTTTCTGAAAGATGCTTTTATGAAAGGCTTTTGGGAACTTACATGATGAATTATAATTAATGCTTCACTTTTTTTTCTTCTTATGAGATGAGAAACAGGCCCCGCTAGGGGATGGACTGTGATTCATTTAATCGGGGTGTTTGATATTTTAAATGCCTATTTACTGCTCCTCCTACTGTATAAGCCTTCTCTTACCGTGTATTTATCTCTTAAGCAATAGCTAGCCACAAGAGATGGATATATGCATTCCGCTCAGAAAATAGAATTTGATCCTACTTTGTTAATTAAATAGGCCAGTGCAAACTCAATTTAGTTTTATGATTTACACTATATGTAAAGGTGTTCTCACCTCATCTTAGAATATCTATATGAGCCCCAAATTGGAAAGTAATATGACACAGTTATTTTGATAGCAAAGCTGTGTGCTGATTAACATTTTTTTTTTTCAAAAGAGGATTTGATATTAGCATTTGCACGAAAATTCTGTTTCCTGGCTATGTCACAAATCTTTTGAAATAGAAAAAAAAGGAAATGCTGTTTTTCATCTCAGGAGTGATTAGCACCTGACCTAGTAATTTCACTCCTTGATATCTATCCTTGAGAAATAGAAACATATGTCTATACAAAGACCTGTATGCAACTGTTCATAACAGCATTATTCCCAATAGCCAAAAAGTGGAAACAACTGAAACACCCATCAGCCGATGAATGAATAAACCAAATGTGGTATAGCCATCCAATAGAATATTATAATATCAGGTGTGAACAAGGAATGAAGTTCAGATACACATGACAACATTATGCTAACTGAAAGGAGCCACTCTCACACAAAACACATCTTGTACAATTCCATTTATGCTAAATGCTAAGAATAAACAAGTTCAGATATAGAGATTAGTGGTTACCTAAGGCTGTAAGGGTTGGAGGGAAATGGGAATAGACTACCAATGGATATGAGGTTTCTTATTGGGGTGACGAAACTCTTTCAGACTTAAAGTTGGAATGGTAATTAATACACATGGTAAATTCTATTTCAGTTTTAAAAATAGAAAATAAAAAAATTAGATTCTGGTGATGGTGGCACAGCTCTGTGAGTATACCAAAAGAAATTGAATTGTACACTTAACATGAGTGAATTATGTAGTGTGTAAATTATATCTCAATAAAGCCGTTAACAAATTTAATTAACTACATATAAAATGTTCAGAAGGCAGCTAAGGAGAAGCAGATAACTGATAGTTCTTCATTATCAAACTTTAATTTTTTAATATTTCTATATTAGTATGGGAAAAATAATGATTAATAAAACTCATGAAATAAATTACTTCCTGGCATTTGAAATGAGTGACACATATATTCTGAATTTCAGTAGTGTCTATCAATATTGTGTTGGCTCTTGCATTTTCAAATAAGACTCAGAATAATAGGAATTATAATTTACTTTCTGATTTTGAAGGAAAAAAAGTCTTAATTATTTAGATCTTAGTCTGACCCCCCCCCCCAAAAAAAAAGTTGAAATGCACTCCTGCATTTTACATGGGGTTTAGGTTTATGGTAATTGATATTCAGCCAAGAGAGTAACATGACTACAGCCCAAAATGTATTTTCCTAAATGATATATTTTGAAATAGAAATTAATCTACTGAAAATATTTAAAGATTCTCCAATTTCCAAGGATAAGAACAAGGATCGACAAGGTGGAATTATCTTAAAGAGTTGTGGAATATAATAGTAATAATCCAGTAATGGATTTAGAATGGAACTGCTCTAAGTATGTCAGGGAATTTAAGACAGTATGTTATTTTAATCTTCTCCTGTCACATTTATTTTGAATAGTCTGCCAAAAGAGGGTCCTGAAGGCATTCCATAAAGATAGTATAAAGTATCCAGGTACTTCCAAGGAGAATTGTCAGTTACCAAATTTGAAAATAATTGCAGCCTAAGTCCACATTGCTGGCCACAAAAAGTTCTTCATAAATTCATTCAGCAGATATTTCCAGAGAGCTTATGATGTCCCTGGGTACTCCGGTACCACCCTTTACTGTAGTTTAGGTGCTACTATAACTACCATTTAAGGGCATACAAATTATCTAATACTGCTTAAATTAAAAAAAAAATAATAAAACAAGGCACTTATGTATGTAATATTTCATAACGATAATGGTAGTATATGATGAAGTGTCAAATGAATGGCATAGAAAGTGATATAGCTGTTTAGAGGAGAATATTATGGGCTAGTGAGTTAAAGATAGCTTTGTGAGCCAGGCCAGTGTGGCTCAGTGAACCAGAAGGTCATAGTTTGATTCTGGTCAGGGTACATACCAGGGTTGCAGTCTCAATCCTCCATAAGGGGGAAGTAGGCAATCAATGATTCTCTCTCTAATTGATGCTTCTATCTCTCCTTCTCCCTTTTTCTCTGAAATAAAAATTATATATATATAATCAGTGGAGAGTCAGCCTACAGACTGGGAGGCCCCAGGTTCGATTCCAATCAAGGGCATGTACCTGAGTTGTGGGCACATCCTCTGTAGGGATGTGCAGGAGACAGCTGATCGATGGTTTTTCTCTCGTCCAGGTTTCTGACTCTCTATCCTCTCCCTTCCTCTCTGTAAAAAAAATCAAATATATTTAAAAAAAAGAGTTAGGGATTTCACCTAGGCAGAGGGTTCAGAAAAGGTTCTCTCAGCAACTGTCCATTGTGCTGAGGCCTGAAGAAGACCAGAAGTTAACTAGATCAAGGAAGGAGGGAAGAACTTCACAGGCCAAAGAACAGTATATGCAAATACCCTGTGAAGGAAACCTTTGTGATGAATAGTAGTAACGGACACAGAGAGGAGACTCGGGGCAAGATGGGACCAAAATGGTCAATTGAGTGATAAACCCTGAACAGCTTCGTAGGCCAATTTTAGGAATTTTGCCCTTATCCTAGAATCCTGCGAAGAGGAGTTTAGTTATAAGAAATCAACTTCATTCTGTAGGAAGTAGGAACTTATTGGTGTTCCTAAACCTGCTATGATTCAGGGAAATCCGATCCATGTGCTTTTAGTTGTGCCTAATAAACTGTTGTGTTTTTTTTTTTAAGCGAGTGTCCTAAGTGATTATTAGGCCAATGGTATCTCTGCGAAATACTGCAGTTCAACTCAAGCCTGGGTTGAAATCTTAGCATTGCCACTCAGAAGCTCAGCGACTTTGGCTAGCTTATTATATCTCTTTAAGCCAAAGTTTCCTCATCTCAGGGGAGAACTATAGAACCTACCTCATTGATTTACTAGAAGGATTAAATAAGAAATTTCATTTAAATTGTTCATTACAATGCTGAGTACCTGGT